ATCAAAAAACCGAAGCAAATATATTAACACAACAGTTGGCACAGTTTGAGGCTGCAAGGCTTCTTATAATGACGTCCAGTCAAGCCTTCAATTCGCTTTTAATGCAGTTTCAGCCACCAATCTAGACTTTTCCCGTATTTGAAAGACGGAACACTGATTGTGAATGTATTCATTATTGAAAGACCTAATAATTATCTAGTGAACCATTAGCAACTGCACACTTTGGAAATGATATGCACTTGAGTATTGAGTGTCTCTTAGGGTCATTTAGTTTGTATGTGCGCTGAGTGAACAGAGAATATTAAAAAATCTTATTTGCCAACGTTAGGTAAAGAAAATTAAAGAAAGAAACGGGGAAATATACTCGGTATGGAAGAAAACCATTAATAATAGCAAAATTGTCTTATTAATCTTAATTCGTCTTAATTGAATGTTGTACAAACGTGACAATTCTTAAATGGAAAACTCTTACAAGTCGTAAACTGTTGCAAAATTATTGTCGAAAATTGCTTTTTCAAATTTGTTTTTAGTTTTCATTTTCTAACAAATCACGAAAAAGCTTTGCTGACCTTGCCTTTCGGTTGACGGACGGACATGTCATAGGCGGATTAAAAATGTTCAATTATTAAAAATTAGTACAAATTCTGATGCAAATGTTCGTAATTCATAAAGACATGCCCAGGTAGCTACGAATAAGAAACCAGTGAAATAATCAAGAGACTTATGGAGATCGATTTGAAACAACGTTCGAACTTTATCTTCTTTTGCCTAAGGTCAATATGTAGAATTACTGTTTGTAAAACGTAGCCTTTGGACAGCTAATAAAATAAAGTCCCCGTTAATTGCACTGTTTTTATAGCTTACTTGACGATATTTGCAATATTTGAAAATATTGCAGTCTACTTTTAGGTGGTCGTTAAAATAGAAAATTGTAGTAGATCATCGGGATACGAAAACTTTTCATTCAAACTAAGATGCAAAATATTCGGAAGAGATGAACTGCGTTTCGTCTCCTAATCAATATGCACTTTATAATATGCTAATAACAACCCAATTAAATGAAGAAGAAGAAGCATAGCGCTAATTAAAGAAATTCATTAAAGTGAGAGTAAGTTGGTAATGTTAAGTTAATGAAACGAAGTCTTCTTTAAACTGAAAGTTGAAAAGCACTTAAAATTTCAAAATAAATATCCTTAATTACATAAAAAGCAAAACCAAAAAAAAAAAAGGTGCACTTATTTATTGCTTTGCTTTCAGACAGCTTAAAGTTACTTGAAAAAGAGTTTCGCATTTAATTCCGAAAATTTTAATGGCTTCAAATTAAAAATGTAAATCATTTTAACTTTTCCTATTGTACATCAGTTGTTGTTAAAGCGTACGGCGCAAATAGTCTGAGTAAATGCGAAAACTTTGTTACTCTATGCGTATAGTGTGGTGATCTGACGACTTATGGCCTTCTAAGTACATTTCTTGCAAAATATGTAATTAACTATGGGATTACCTAGTGTTGTAGCAGTATAGCGTTCTCATCCGAAAAAAAATCTTATTGTCATCTTTATAATAACAAATAATGTTCCAAAAAGGTAGTGTAACACATGTTGTAGTACTCATCTTATAAATTCAATGAAAACTTTAATGGCTTTTGTCGTCAATCAGCAGACACAACAGTTGAGATAACAATGGAGCTATAAAAAAAACACAGAAACTTGTTTTTTCTGGATCTAAAAATACAGACATGACATCATCACTCCAAAAATTCATAAAAATTATACAACAAACACTTTTTCATTTAATATAAGCGCAAGAAGGAATGACCTACCGACGTTCGGTTTTAGTAAATAGTCTTTATCTTTAAACTTAATTTTTTTTTTATTGATTTTAAAAAGTGAAGAAAGAGAACACACAGTCACTTAATAAAGACGGCACATCCTTACAATATGAAAAAATTGGACATTTGCGAATTCACTCAACATCGGGGAACTGCGCAAAAGCAATTAACCTTGATATTTATAAAAAAAAAAAAAAAAAAAAAAAAAAAATGGGATTTGTTTACCATCTTTATCCATTCCTTACCTTCTTCTTATATATTTTATTAACTCGTTTTACTCTTTTCTAAGCAAAAATGCATTAAAAAAAAAAAAAAAAAAAATATTAAACTCCGCGGGCAATGATCGTTGGGTGTGTTGGCACTCTTACTTGCTTTCTTATTTTATTTGCCGTTATGACTGTTTAAGAGTTTTTGGCACTCTCTTCTTTGGCGAATCTGCCTTTTTTTTTGTAGTATTTTCGGAAAATTTTGATTGAAAAACAGTTTCGAAAAAAGGTAACAAAATATTTGAATTATGGGAAAATCAAGGCATATTAGGATGTATAGACGAATATCAAATGTGAAGAAAAGAAAAATTGAAAATTTTATTTTACAGGGATGTTTGCAAAATTTGTTTGAAAATTTTTATTATAAAAAAATATTCGAACTGAGCTCTTTTCGCATTTTTTTTAGATTATTATCGAATGTTTTTATATATCTCCACATCTACAGCTAGGTTACAAATATAATGAAAGGTGACAACTGAGTGATTTGATCTTATGCCTGCAGAAATCTGTACCACAGAAATCTGTACCACAGGAATCTGTATAGTGTCGCTATGGCACGGTTAACGTTACAGGACCTGATTTGATTGTTTCGCTCACATTTTGCAAAGCGTCTGCAAAGGTAGCCTTATTGTAAACTTTGTGGTTTAGCAAGTACGCTAAGGGTAAGAATAGTGGGACAAAAATCTTTGAATGAATGCTGTATATGTGCGTACACCTTAATCGAAAGGGAAAATAAAAATATCGTAAAAATCTACTCAACAAAATAAATGAAATGAATGAATGCAATGATGATCGCTTTTGCGATTACGAGCATCCAAAGCACAGGAAGTAATTATGGGCCTTCACATGGAAGCAGAGAACGGCTTTGTACATGAGTGCTCGATTAGCAACGCCGATCTGTTTTAAAAGGCATTTCCTGCCACAAGCAAGTAAAAGCCTTGTTCGTCGGCCCACTATCAACAAAAATTCATAATTAGTAGTATATGGGATCCAAAATAAGATATTTGCCTGCATATTTCATACATGTACAAATATTCTGTAATGAAAGTTTGCTTGCAAGAGTAAGACGTAATTTATCTATTTAGTTAGCTATTTTGTTACACACTTAGCCGATGATCACATATCAAACTTCAACAAGAACGTGGCTTATCATAACGCCCACAATGCACTGTCAATAAAGATGCCTCAAGATGTTCTACGTGGATACACTGCCGTGTACCCGGCTTAGCTTCACAAGTGTGATTCGTCCCCGAGTACCAGATGAAGATATGTGTATGGATGTATCCCCACTCTGATGAGAGTGGATTGATTAGCAAAAATCGCTGGCTTACCACTTTGATACAAACGATTCCTAGGGCCTTTTGAAAGAAGAGCATAGAAAAGGTCAATGACTGCTTTCTATGCATTGGTATTAAAGATCCAACTGCAAAAACCAATATACCTATGTTAGACGCTTGCTAGAACTAAGGGATAACTAAGACTCGATAAAAATGCATAAAAATATATTTTTTTCATTGATTTTTGAATGAAACTTCACCTATCAACCTATCAACATGCAATTATGTAGATCCGAATTACTATCGATAACACAAAACTAAAAGTAATTTTTCCGCGGTCAGAAGGCGTTATCATTTCTCCTACGACCTAAGGATGTCTAATATTTTTAAATTGTACTTTAAATTTTTCGATTAAGTTTTACATGGATTAAGTGCATATTTACATTTTAAATGTTGAACGATGATATGAAGGCATACTTGAAAGGTTTTATTTAATGCACACTAATGATACCCAGGTGGTAAGTAATTTTATATCTTTTAGTGGTGACTCGATTTAATGCATGAAATGTGTTTGATTATAGCCCGTATGGTATATTTGCTTAAGCTTTAAAGTTTCTGCTGAATGAGACGCCATTTCTTAATGGGATTAAACTGACTTTACTACATAGTATTTGAATAAAACCGGCACATAAAGCACACGACGCAAGATTACAAACGAAACTTTGAAGTCATACATAATGACATCATATCATATTATATGACATTGCTGCGACAGAGAGAAAGAAAGAAAGAAAAAAAAAAAAAGAAGTAATATCAAGCATGAAAACCTTGATGGGTCATTAGAGAAGAAAAGTTTTTTTTTTCCTTTTTTCATTATTTTCTATTTGCGTATTACTTCAATACAAATATTTATTGCGTATTATAAAATGAATAGTGTTCATGTATATTGCATCATTTTGGTAAAGTTGTATAGATATTGCAATCAAATGGAAAGAAAATAAAAAAAAATATATATATAAAAAACATTTATTTTGATTTTCAAAATATATTTACAAAACCATTATAACAGGCGTAAAATACCACATTTAGAGGAGAAGAATCAAAGTTAACGTCATGCGAAAAATTTTTAATAATTAAATCTTATGATGTAAAAGTTAGAAATGTGTGTTGATGTTTGATTCAAGACACACATGAAGTCAATAATTTTAAGTAAATATAAAATCGAATCAATTCTCAATTAAATAGCATCCATAATAGTTTCGTTCTTAAAATTTCTTAACTTCACTTGCGAAATGAAAAAAAAAAAAAACACAAAAACCATTCCAGAATTTTATATGCCATAGAACACAAGGATGCATAACATATGAGAAAATACTTAAAGTGAACAACAAATTGTATGATTTTGGAACGCAATATAAACAGGAACAATGAGTAATGATCGAGTTGGAAGAAGACAGATACATACAGATATAAAAGAGAAGAAATAAGGCAGAAGAGAATATAGAAAGAGTAAGATATATGCACGTAGTCACAAAACATATAACATACGATGTAACGTTGTTGCTGTATAGAAGTATTAAAAACAGCATGATTCAAATGCAATGCAAGTCGTTCTTGTCCTTTACTGACCTGTTTATTGAAGTGGACATGGGAGACGTGGCGAACAGGAATGCCGCCGGTGCACTTTCCACAGACGCGGTGGACAGTTTATGGGCAGCTTGTACAGGACTGCTAAACTGCATGGTATTGTCTTGCATTAGCTGCTGTAATGGCTGTTGTTGTTGTTGTTGTTGTTGTTGTTGTTGCGGTAGTGGTAAAGGCAAACGATTGACAGATGTCCCAAATGCTGGATCATAACTAAATGAAATTCTTTTAGTTACCGTGGTTCCTAACTGAGAACCTTGGATATCCGGTGAACCACTGTAGAACGATGTGTAAGCTGTGCTACTACTAGGACTAATATCGTAAATTTTATGAACTGGCGAAGTTATGGGGCTTTGCTTAACATTAGTTGCTCCCGTTGGGACAATCATTGTAGGTGAATGCGTCATAGAACCACTAGGACTTATGGGTATTGGCATCGAACGGCTTTGATTAATCCCTGTTGGATACAACAAAGGGGAAAACTGATCGATGGCTTCTTCCAAGTCTTCTCCACCGTTTCCCTGATCCGCCTGAACAATCATACTAGCATCAGGGCTAGTGTTGGCGGAAAATTCAGCTGGCAACCGATAACGATCGTCGCCCAAAGCCAAATTCGTATAGATATTAGTATCAGAAACGGCTTGCAAACCTCCACCCGGTTTTGCCAACCCCGCGGGCCATAAAGCCTCGTCTACGCAAAAGGATGAACGACCTGACGAGGATTTATTATAAAAATATAAATTCGACACATTAGAATCTTCTAGTCCAGCAAAAGAAGCTGTAGTTATCCCGGGCAATGATTCATTTAAATTACTGCCAATACCGCTAATATTACTAATATTATCGCTGTTCGAAGTTGTTAACAATTGGGCAGCATATGTGGGCGGTAAATAAGGCGTACTAAAAGCTCTTTTGCGATTATTGACTGTTGCGGCTATGGCTTGCGTAAGGCTGGAGACGGTACTGTGATATCGTAAATTTTTAATGCATGTTTTTTTTTTATTTATTGCCGGTACAACACATCACATATTTATGCAAAATCAAAAGCATTTCATTCAATGTGGAGGGAGATTTTGATGTCGGAAAAAGTGTAGTTGTAAAAAATTAAGAAATTTGTGAACAATCAAAGAGATTTTGTTTTGTTTTTAAGTGTAAACGCAAGAATTCGTCACATCGAAAACCAAAGGAAATGATGAGAAGTTTTTAAGAACAGCGAGGGAGAAAGAGAGAAAAAAAAGAAAAGAAAAAATTTTTTTTATTACCAATTGTTTTTCTTTTTTTTTTTTTTTTTTTTTTCAAACTTAAAATTATTCTTTAACACCATTTTCCCGATTTAATTTAAACCATATAAAGAGCAGTACATATAAATTTTTTTAAATAATAAGAAAATAGCTCTTAGGCAATACGTAGGTTAGGTTAATGCAACAATAAAATTAAAAAAAAAAAAAAGGAAAAAATTTATTCATTCCTGGGATTTTCACTGCTGCATTTGCATTTTTCTTCTTACGTAGATGTATAACAAGTAAACACATTGCAGTCGTTCAAGATCGATCATTAAATACCACACCACGTCGCCTAATATAACTCTTTATCTATTTTCGCAGGAATACGCCGAAAATTATACTTTATATCCACTTTTCAAGAAAGCCCTTCTAAGGAAGAAGGAATGGCAACTCACGTGCTTCAAAATATAGGAAATTTATTTATTATCTTTTTGAAAACTTCTTTTTATTAGTCTTCAAGTATTTTCATCTTACAACACTACAACTTAGACTTTGTTGCGATATAAGGACTTGTTTTTCATGAGAAAGGGAGTTCCAAAAAATTAATTTGATCCAAATCCATCCACATTTAACTTTTATACCAACAATTTTTTATTAAATAAAAATTAGAGTGAACGCTCTTCATGAGGACCTTCGTGTAGGCTGGGGTTTAAGAGAAATATCTCTGCTTAATTCAAATTTGATTCATTTAATTTTTATATCAAATTGTTTTTGTGGACCAATTTTGATCATATAGAAGCTTTCGTAAGCACGGCTATCTGAGAAGAATACCAGAATACAAGAAATTTATCCATGCGATCCAAAATTTCACAAAAGTTGGCTTATGCCGAAACACCATTATGCAACGATTTTTGTTAAGAAATTTTGACAAAATTCTATGCTTTTCATACAATGGCTTGCTCAAAATATGTAGTGGCATGGCGAAAGATCACCAGAGAGGTCGAAGCCCCTTCAGTTTTAATGCCGTTCGTCCTTAGTCTGAAACTCATCAGAGTGTCCCAAAAATTGTCATTTATAGGGTGATTACAAAAAAATATAAGCCACAGATGGGCAGACACTTTTTAATCAATTCAAAAAATGATTTTGAATCAATCTGTGTAATAAAAAAATGTACCTCCATATTACCTCCTTCAAGGTGTTATATGCATCCACATAAACTCAATACATAACTCGTACCGCATGTGGTTTTCAACTTTTGTTTTGAGTTTCTGAGTATTGCAAGGAAAACGACTAATGGATATAGATACTTAAATCTTCCGATTGCTAAGCGGTAGCTCTGCAACCGGAGCTAATGCATATTGTTCTTGCGACATTTTCATCGTGCTTCTTATGATTGCAATTACAGTTCTGGTACAACGTACGAAAGCTGGGCATTTATATCGAAATTATCGGAATTATTATATGCCATCGGTAAAGTTATTCTTATTGCAAAATTTTTAAGCAGAGTTCCAAACAATTAAGAAAAGAGAAAGGTATGCTAGACAACTTAGAAACTTGCCAAGTATAAATGTGTAAGCAGAAAAACGATTGGGTGTTTAAAAAATCTCCGCATCAAGAAGGGGTGGACAGGTATTACGGTTAGAAGGCTTTAAGAGAAGATTTCATGCAGATAAAAAAAAGAAAAATTAAGGTTATGATGTTTATCTCTAGATGTTACTTACAAATTCACAAAATTCGTATACGGCTTGCTTTTACATCGATTCGCTCTGCACATTCTACATGTGCAAGTCCTCGAGACAATTGCATTCCTCCTTAACGCTGTAATAAGTTTAGCATGCAATATGTTGAGCAAGAAACTGAAGTTGAATTAATTCAAAAAGATTGAAGGGGCACAACGTTAACAGGGGAAATGAATCAAAAAGTTGTGAACAAATATCTGCTAAATCCTATTAACCACTGTAATAATCGCCATGACGAACTGAGAATGAATCAGTGTAACTTCAGAGTTTTGATTTTGCAGACATGGCGCATTTTTTTTATCTATAAAGTTAGAAATCGAAAGTAAGTGTTGATGATTTGAATACCCTCAGGGGAAAGAGAAATACACAATTAATTACTCGATCAGGTACATACATTAGTTACTAGTCAGCCTGTCACATAGATGGTACTACTAGAGGAAAATGCGCCCTCATGCCCTGTAGCAAACAGTCTGTTAGTTGAATGCAAACGCAACACAGGCATTCTAGGCGAATAGCGTAATTACTAAAAACAACGCAGCCGAGGCTATTGATATCCCAGATGGGGGATTAGGATCTTAACTGACGTTTTGGATGGTAAAACTATTGTGTTGTTACTCCAGAATTTCTACGATTTTTGGGCAAAAGATCTAAACTGATTTTCACAAGCCTCTTCGAAAGCAGTTTAAGAGAGCAATGTAGAGAATGAAAAAATCGTAGTCGTCCCCAATACCTTTGCCAATGTTCTCAAAATTATTGAAGACATGTCTTGTCTGGTGTCTGTCGGAAAGGAAGTTGATGTTTTGGGCATTGACCAAGTGGTTCACAAAAAACGACGCTTTACCTACTTTGTTCGCGTTAGTTATTAACAGAAAAGAATGGAACATATTTTCGATTCAATTGAAGCATTTCCTGATGAAGGATTCTTAGTAATCGTCTTTCCAAAAATATCAGATGTACAAATATGAAATGAGAATTGAAGACTAAGGTAACGTACCAGGACGTACTCGTTAAATGTTAAATTAGCAGAATTTTCAATAGAAGTTATAATTTTCATTATAAGATATATACGAATAATCATTAAAGTCATATGAAGCCTTTTTCCTTTGACATTCTTATGTATGCAGGGAGTTGAAAAATCAGCATAAGCCATTGTTGTGGAGAACAAATCCATAGCGACCATAGCGAGCACTAAAATTTAGCACTGAGCTATATATACATATTATCAATTATGAAATTGTAAATAATTTTTAAAAGGAATTGTTGAGTATAAATTTCCAGTTTAATAAAAAAAAAAAAAAATGTAAATCATATTTTCGGACAAAGAATTATATTTCTCTTTATATTAGCAAATATCGCCAATAGATATCAATATGTTTGAGCTAAGGCTTTTTAAAGTTTCTTTTTCAACGCGACCTATGCCTATTACCGCGAGTTATATTTAACTGATTTCTCGTCTATCTTTACTTGATAAACTTTGCCAAGAAGTATTTACAAGCAAACGCTATCTTTTGTATACTTCTTGCTCTAGCAACAGGCGTCAAAAGACAATCTATACCATATACTGTAACTATCCTTCCTTAATTCGTTAATTATAACAACGAGAAAAAATAAAATAAAACGAATGTGCGTGATATATAAGACGACAAATCAAAATAAAAAAATTACATGGTACGTGTATGTGCTGAGCATTTATTTCTTCACTTTTTGATTTCGACAAAACAGACTAATAAAGTTAATAGTAATGTAATTAAGTTTCACGTTAAAGCTTTAAAAAAATTTCCTCATAATAAATTTGTTGCAGAAAAATGAAACGAAAATATTGCGGGTGTCCCATGTGTTGTTGTTTGGCTAATGGCCAGCCAGGCAGCATTATGGTCAACAAGTTTAGTTGGCTAATGATTGTGTTGCTCAAACTAAACCAGCTGCATGCAGTGATAACATTATGGTAGGATAGGTAAGCATTTATGTATGGATGTTAATGACCACTTAAATAATTGCGTTTCTCGTCGGATTATACCGCATGATCAGCAAACATGCAACCAAAGCAAAGTTTATAAACATTATACAAAACATTGAAGTTTTGTTTTTTTTTTTTCTTAAGTTTTCATTTTGGCGGACTTTAAATGCGCTGTAATGGTTGGGTTAGGTAGTATGTTTATGTTAAGCAATAAATTTTCCCATTAAAAAGGAGAAAAAATAATATGAAAAAATTAGCTATGGATTGAACCGAAAGCTCTTAATACTCTCGTCACATTATTTTCAATTTTTTATTTTTCATTTGTTTCTAAGGAACTTGTCATGGATAGATTAAATAGGGTTTGCAGTGGTGCCTCCGTCTACCTGGAGTAAATCTCTTAATAGGTTAGTTGTGCAAACTTTATAACCCTATAATGGGTTTGTTTTTGAAAAATCATCCCGTGCACCGCGTATTTCTTATTAATTTTTCTCTTGTAAATTAATTTTACGTAGACTTAAAGCCGAGCAGACAGACGGTCATAACCATCACTCATCACTTACGTCACTCAATAAATCCCCATTCTCATAAGATATGACAACACCGTTGAGAGGCCCATGTCAAAATTTCATAACATTTCGAGTATTAGTTTACATGTGAGTAAATGCTTCAATGGCTTTGCTCTGCATGTGAAGTGTAGTGATCAGCACATATTTTAGATATTGTCGCCTACCGCATGAAAAAATACTAAACAGCGTCACACTGTACAAAAATAGCCTAACGCAGCACCCACTTTGAACAGTAGTACGCCATGGATAAATGATGGTGCGGAATAGTATATACAGCGCCTTCTGATTTTAGTTAGCTATTACATATAGATATCTCACGCAACATCAGTTTTGGATCTTCCAAAAGGATTATGTGCACTTTTTTTATGTTTTCTGAAACAGTCGGTGTGCTTTTGGGCGACATCATCGATGTCCATAGGGCGTTGTTTAAAAATTTATTTTTCTCGTCAGATAAAAGTCACCTTAACATCTTTCAAGT